ATTGGATGTGACCGGATCTTAGATGCGGGAGGTGGAAGGTCCTCCTCTACGCCAGTTTAGGGCCAATAGAAATATTTCCTTCTCTGTCTTTCAAGGGTTATAAAACATGATGTTCTTGCTGATGTGAGTTAGTTGTTCTTCCAGCCTGTGTGCTGCCTGAACTGCTCCTGCCTTTGCAAACGCAGCGCTGATACTTGACCTGTGATCTGACAAATATATTTTCCAGAACGAGAGAAGTTATTCGGCTGAATTTTTGATAACCCCGACCAGGCTCCAAATCTTGAACACGTATTCTTACAGGAGGAGGGTCTACAGTTCGGGGGGCTGCGGATCTCATCGCTGCTTTTTGCAGATGATGTGGTCCTGATGGCATCTTCCGTCTGTGACCTCCAACTCTCACTGGAGCGTTTCGCAGTCGAGTGTGAAGCGGTCGGGATGAGGATTAGCACCTCTAAATCTGAGGCCATGGTTCTCAGCAGGAAACCGATGGATTGCCTACTCCAGGTAGGGAATGTGTCCTTACCCCAAGTGAAGGAGTTCAAGTACCTCGGGGTCTTGTTCACGAGTGAGGGGAAGATGGAGTGTGAGTTTGGCCAGAGCAGCGGGGCGGTATTGCACTCGCTTTACCGCACCGTTGTGACGAAAAGAGAGCTGAGCCGGAAGGCAAAGCTCTCGATCTACCGGTCAATCTTCGTTCCTACCCTCACCTATGGTCATGAAGGATGGGTCATGACCGAAAGAACTAGGTCACGGGTACAAGCGGCCAAAATGGGTTTCCTCAGGAGAGTGGCTGGCGTCTCCCTTAGGGATAGGGTGAGAAGCTCAGCCATTCGCGAGGAGCTGAGCGGAGTAGAGCCGCTGCTCCTTTGCGTCGAAAGGAGCCAGTTGAGGTGGTTTGGGCATCTGGTGAGGATGCCCCCTGGGCGCCTCCCTAGGGAGGTGTTTCAGGCACGGCCAGCTGGGAAGAGGCCCCGGGGAAGACCCAGGACTAGGTGGAGAGATTATATCTCTGCACTGGCCTGGGAACGCCTTGGGATCCCCCAGTCAGAGCTGGTAGATGTGGCCCGGGAAAGGGAAGTTTGGGGTCCCCTGCTGGAGCTGTTGCCCCCGCGACCCGACCCCGGATAAGCGGTTGAAGATGGATGGATGGATGGATGGATGTATATATACGTCAGTTATAAGTCAAGGCAATGCCCGGCAATTTTATTTGTATAGCACATTTCAACAACAAGGCAGTTCAAAATGCTTCACATAAAACCATTAAAAACATCCAAACATAAGGAAAGGAGATTTACAAACCGTTAAGAATTTTGATTAAAACATAAAAGACGTCAAAAAACTAAAAATATAATAAAACTTGCAGTTTAAGAATGTCATATAACCAAAAGACGTTCCGTCGAGCAGGATATAAAAATAATATTGGAATAAAAAGTCAATTAAAACTAATATAAAGGTGCTTCATGAACTTCCCTGCTGTTTCTCAAACCTTCAATGCTAAATGAATACAAACATATAGGTTTATTGATTCATTATTATTATTTGAGCGGAACAGAGCGCTGTGATCCTGCAGGATCTCTACGTGGTCCGTCACATGGCCGTCCATCTCAAAGTACTCCTTGGCCTGCAAGAATGAGTGCACGCATGTAGACAGTTTAATAGGTTTCTGTATCTGTGCTCCTTACATCATTTCCCTCATGTGCTGGAATACACAATTATTCTGAACTGTAACATTGTTACCAACTTAAAATATTTCAGACAACAAGGAGATTGAGGACTTGAGTGGTAATTGATAGTATCAGTGTACGTGTGCTTCACTCATTGATACATTCTATTTACATTGTACTTTAACTTGCTAAGAGCTGAATAAAAGCAGCAAAGTACAAACGCATCTGTTTGCATCTGGTCTCTTTTAGGTTAAAAGCCAGTTTATCCGCTTGTACGGCGGTGATTCAGCTACTTGGAATTCTTCAACTGTGATCCAGTGCTGTGTGTCGGATTACTTGAATAAGAGACTTTAATTTGATGATGTGAATCTGTCAAATACATTTACATTTTGTGTGCCTGTGTGTGTGGGGTTGTGTGTGTTCTTTGCATACCTGAGTGACATAATTCTGTCCCACCAGAAAAACCACTCTGGCCTCAGTGAAGTCTAATGGCAACGAACAGCGAACCTGTAAAACGTAATACATATAATACACGTTCAATCTGCTATGATAGATTTAAAATGTATGCTGCCCTCTGAAGATATAATTATCATAAATAATCGCAATAATTATAGATACGGAGTGAAATAAATGACATTAAAGAGCCCGTTGTAACTTATGATTAATAAAAGGGAAGCATTACCACTGCTTGAGACACACAGGAAGTGGCGATACATGTTAATACACAGTAGTACTACAGCCTTCCTCCTAACAAACATTTCAAAAAACATTATGTGTAGAACGAGCAGCGTCCACACCTTCTCTTCCAGACTTGCAATGGAGTCAAAAGTGTCCTCAGAGCCAAAGAGCAGAGCGCTCTTCCTTCCCTTCTCTTCCTCCTCTTCCTCACGTCTCCTCGCTGTCAGGACCAGATAAAAATGAGGACTCAGATGCAGAGGGTTTGGCGTCTTTATTCGCGTCGTAAAAAACAAACAAACGGCTATGAGCTATCAGCGTTTCTGACGAAGGTTAACAAACTAAAGTCTCTCTTAAACGAGGAAAACGAACGGCTTCGAAAGCGCGCTAAAACTAAAACTAAGAAGCTCCAACAAAGGTCACTCTTACTCAGAGGAAAAAACATAAAGGGGTAATCATTCCGAGACAAGGCAATGGTATTAACAAATCCTGTGGCTGTGGCGAGGCTTGGGTGATCGCACGGTGGTACACTCAGGCACAAGACAAAGGGAGACGCAGACTATAAGACACATGAGGGTAATGGGAAACAGGTGGACACAATTAGGAATCAGGGGAGACGATTCGACTGGTGACATGAGGAAGGGCAAGTGACCTGAAACGAGAGGAAGGTTACTACTTTCAAAATAAAACGGAAATGACAAGACCAAAACATGCCGACAAAAACCCAACTTGACCTCACCCCGTGACACTCGCCATCTTCATCTCTTCTTGACGATCAGTGTCAAGCTCCCCAATGCTGTCCTGGTTACACACGTGTGGACATATTTTAGGGAACAATGCAATTTCGTAGATTTTGGCTACGAGAGACTTTCAGCAGAAACTCAATCCTCAAAATGATTGCACTTAAGCATTATCTTTGGAGCCAAATTTCTGGTGCTAACTTGTCTTTCTTTGGGTCGTCTGCTGATAAAGTTGATGTTTTTATTGCTATAGGTGTGGACTGGAGCATTAACATTTTTCCCACAGAGTGACAAGTGCAACCGCACCCATACAATCACGCCGTACTTCCAGCAGCTTCTTTGAGTCCTGCAGGAGGTTGAGACAATATTTGGATCCAACATCTTGGCAATCTCAGCTCTCTTCTGTCTGAGCTGCTCCCTGCGCTCACTCTCCGCCTTCCCTGGGTCACACAAAGGCAGAAAGAGATACTAAGATATGCTGGAAGGAAGGGAAAGAATGATTGATATATCTGGATGGAGTTTGACGGACGGAAGGAGAAGTCAGTTTTGTTCACTCCCCCTCTGACTGATTATAGTTTAATTAACCTACAGATTACAAGGAAAATGATTGAAAAAATATGCTTTGTTTCACGTGTGTGTTAATTAAATATTTAGATGGGACACTCACTCTCTTGTGCTGCAGCCTCAGAAGGAGCCTCCCCTGCTAAACCGGTTATGACAGTAGCTGCAGAGAGACAATGTCTCCCTTCCATGTACAGGCCCTAGAAATCACAAGCAAACATTCACATAACAGATCTACAAACAGTTACGATTTCTACAACAAACCTGCGAGGTAATCAAAATAAAAATCGACTACATGTCAAGTCTCAAAAATGTATCAATGAGAGGGATCAAATCATTTTGGATGATAACATAATAATTTAAGATGTCAGGTTTTAACTCGCCCTACCTTAGTGATGTAACACCAGCCTAGAAGGAGGATGCCCAGGAAGTAATGTCCTTTCTTATGTCATAACAGACCTAACTGTCAAACTTAAGCAAAACTTTTGGCTTTAATCTTAGAGCGACATTAAACTGTCATATATGGATGGTTTTTCCATTCGCTGTCATAAAACCATTACAATTGTGTCATAAATGTTGTCCTTTTCATTAAGATGTCGTTAAGTGTAACTACACTGCTAAATGACTTTATAACACATTTCCCATTTACCTCCTACAGTGATTTTTGGATTTTAACTTTGCATTAAGATATCATGTGCAATTACATAGTCAAACCAGTTTATGACAGTGTCATGACTGTTTTCTTTGAATTCCAGTTAAGTGGAACAATTAGATTCTACAATTAAGATGTCATTGTGTGTAATTACATAGTCAAACCAGTTCATGACAGTGTCATGACTGTTTTCTTTTCTTATCTCTGTTCAGTTGCAAAACCGCATTTGTTTTTGTTTCACTTAAAAGCTTTCTATATGTTGCGTATGAAAATATATTAAATCGAATGAGAGACAAGAGGCTTTTTGCTGTCCATTTTAGCCACATTTAGTCACTGCTGAATTATTAGTCGAAAACACTTGTTTGTTAATATTTCTTCCAATTTGTACAGTGCTGCTGCACCTGTGTAAATGATATTTAGCAATGTATTTTAGCATGGCCTGAATGCCAGTTGTATAAACAGATGAATAATAAAATGAAAAGACTAAATCTAAAATGCATTACTGTGTATATATACGTCAGTTATAAGTCAAGGCAATGCCCGGCAATTTTATTTGTATAGCACATTTCAACAACAAGGCAGTTCAAAATGCTTCACATAAAACCATTAAAAACATCCAAACATAAGGAAAGGAGATTTACAAACCGTTAAGAATTTTGATTAAAACATAAAAGACGTCAAAAAACTAAAAATATAATACAACTTGCAGTTTAAGAATGTCATATAACCAAAAGACGTTCCGTCGAGCAGGATATAAAAATAATATTGGAATAAAAAGTCAAATAAAACTAATATAAAGGTGCTTCATGAACTTCCCTGCTGTTTCTCAAACCTTCAATGCTAAATGAATACAAACATATAGGTTTATTGATTCATTATTATTATTTGAGCGGAACAGAGCGCTGTGATCCTGCAGGATCTCTACGTGGTCCGTCACATGGCCGTCCATCTCAAAGTACTCCTTGGCCTGCAAGAATGAGTGCACGCATGTAGACAGTTTAATAGGTTTCTGTATCTGTGCTCCTTACATCATTTCCCTCATGTGCTGGAATACACAATTATTCTGAACTGTAACATTGTTACCAACTTAAAATATTTCAGACAACAAGGAGATTGAGGACTTGAGTGGTAATTGATAGTATCAGTGTACGTGTGCTTCACTCATTGATACATTCTATTTACATTGTACTTTAACTTGCTAAGAGCTGAATAAAAGCAGCAAAGTACAAACGCATCTGTTTGCATCTGGTCTCTTTTAGGTTAAAAGCCAGTTTATCCGCTTGTACGGCGGTGATTCAGCTACTTGGAATTCTTCAACTGTGATCCAGTGCTGTGTGTCGGATTACTTGAATAAGAGACTTTAATTTGATGATGTGAACCAGGGGGAGGATCTAGTTTTCATGACAAAAAAAGAAAAGTTGTATTGCCTGTGTTTTAACGTTCAAGTAAAACCTGTAAAACCTGTCATAACAGACCTAACTGTCAAACTTAAGCAAAACGTTTGGCTTCATATCTTAGAGCGACATTAAACCGTCATATATGGATGGCTTTGACATTCGCTGTCATAAAACCATTACAATTGTGTCATAAATGTTGTCCTTTTCATTAATGTTCTGGACATTAATGAATAATGTTAAAAGCTGCTCCCTGCGCTCACTCTCCGCCTCACCTGGGTCACACGAAGGCAGAAAGAGATATTAAGATATGCTGGAAGGAAGGGAAGATAGATGTCACATCTATCTGCTATGATAGATTTAAAATGCATGCTGCCCTCTGAAGATATAATTATCTTAAATAATCGCAATAATTATAGATATGGAGTGACATAAATGACATTAAAGAGCCCGTTGTAACTTATGATTAATAAAAGGGAAGCATTACCACTGCTTGAGACACACAGGAAGTGGCGATACATGTTAATACACAGTAGTACTACAGCCTTCCTCCTAACAAACATTTCAAAAAACATTATGTGTAGAACGAGCAGCGTCCACACCTTCTCTTCCAGACTTGCAATGGAGTCAAAAGTGTCCTCAGAGCCAAAGAGCAGAGCGCTCTTCCTTCCCTTCTCTTCCTCCTCTTCCTCACGTCTCCTCGCCATCTTCATCTCTTCTTGACGATCAGTGTCAAGCTCCCCAATGCTGTCCTGGTTACACACGTGTGGACATATTTTAGGGAACAATGCAATTTCGTAGATTTTGGCTACGAGAGACTTTCAGCAGAAACTCAATCCTCAAAATGATTGCACTTAAGCATTATCTTTGGAGCCAAATTTCTGGTGCTAACTTGTCTTTCTTTGGGTCGTCTGCTGATAAAGTTGATGTTTTTATTGCTATAGGTGTGGACTGGAGCATTAACATTTTCCCACAGAGTCACAAGTGCAACCGCACCCATACAATCACGCCGTACCTCCAGCAGCTTCTTTGAGTCCTGCAGGAGGTTGAGACAATATTTGATCCAACATCTTGCAATCTCAGCTCTCTTCTGTCTGAGCTGCTCCCTGCGCTCACTCTCCGCCTCACCTGGGTCACACAAAGGCAGAAAGAGATACTAAGATATGCTGGAAGGAAGGGAAAGAATGATTGATATATCTGGATGGAGTTTGACGGACGGAAGGAGAAGTCAGTTTTGTTCACTCCCCCTCTGACTGATTATAGTTTAATTAACCTACAGATTACAAGGAAAATGATTGAAAAAATATGCTTTGTTTCACGTGTGTGTTAATTAAATATTTAGATGGGACACTCACTCTCTTGTGCTGCAGCCTCAGAAGGAGCCTCCCCTGCTAAACCGGTTATGACAGTAGCTGCAGAGAGACAATGTCTCCCTTCCATGTACAGGCCCTAGAAATCACAAGCAAACATTCACATAACAGATCTACAAACAGTTACGATTTCTACAACAAACCTGCGAGGTAATCAAAATAAAAATCGACTACATGTCAAGTCTCAAAAATGTATCAATGAGAGGGATCAAATCATTTTGGATGATAACATAATAATTTAAGATGTCAGGTTTTAACTCGCCCTACCTTAGTGATGTAATACTGTGATAGTGTAGCAGCATTCAGAGCCCACTCCATTGGACTGAAATGATTTAACTGTAACTGTCTCTGCAGGGTGCTGTGGCAGTATGTGGCAGCACGCTCAGTTTCACCTGAAATACAAGATGCCCCAGTTAGTATTACTATCGTTGCGTAAAGCTAAACATTAACAGAACAAAAATCCTTGGTAAATCTATACAAATGAATAGTTGATACAAGTGAAAAAAGTTCAGAGACGCACTCTAGAAATGCATCAAAAGTTAAAAAGTTAATGTTGGTGAATTTGTGGCAGACGGCTCTCCACTCGTCGCTGTTCACAGACGCCATGTTGGATTCTTCTTTGTCGATCAACCGCAGCTCTCGGAGCCGGTTTGCGAGTGCTGCGTTACCGCCACCTACCGGAACCACGTGGAAGCAGATAGAATGCAATGCGGTTCACGAATGTTTTTGAGATGATTTTATTTGAATATGTGTGTGTCTACAGGGTATCTTTTATGACCCGTGGTAAATTATAATATATTAATGTTATACTTACTTGTCAACACTATATCCATTTAAGTACACTTAAGTGCACAGTATAATCCACCTTAATCATCATCTCACAAAATTGAAATGCCACGTAAAAATGCAGGTTTTCTTCTAACTTTCACAATTAGTTTTAAACATGTTGCTTGGTAAATTGTTTAATATATCAATCCATCTGAAAGCATTATTCCACATTAAAGTTTAAAAGCTAGGGTTTACACGTGAATTAGTTCCTGTTCATTTTGTGCACGTTTTTTAACTTTGTTGATAATTTGTGTTTAGTGTAAATAAAAAAAAGGGTGTTATGTTGCCAAGAAAAGTGTAAAGTGTAAAAAGGAAGAAGCTGCCTGCTTGACAATTATCAAAAAAGTATTACTCCAAAAGCAATGTGGAACTTTCTGTTTAAAAAATCATTGCAAAAAAATCCAATGAATTATGTTCGAGTTTCTTTTAGACAGTTTATTTGAACAAACCCAAAGAATCATTTATCAGGAAAAAATTATTTAGATCAAACAATGGCAATAAATTATTGTGGACTACATATGATGACACACAGTACAGTTTGGTCAGCACTGACCTAATCAGCTAGTCTTAATTATTATACTTTCATCAAACCGTGTCGAATTGGAAGCTCTAGACACACGGTTTTATTTTTACAGCATAACATTTTGCACAACAAACAAAAAGCTTTGCTCCCCGCGTGTACTCTGTGTTCACGAGAAGGTTAACGGATTAAAGTCCACATGTTTGGCAAGTGATAATCTGTCATCGTGTGGACACCATAAACTGACTTTAGGGTAAGGTCTCTTTCAAATAATATTATTATTTAAATTACTAAGCAGATAAGAAAGTAATAAAAATAACAATTCCCATGACCTTAAAGGAGATGAATGATGACTAAATTGTACAAGGCAGCAAATTATCACGCTATTTAGCGGAGTATACATTCGCCACATCCTATTTCTGTTTGTCTATGTGCGTTGAAATTGAATGTTGCAATCCCCCCCCTAAAAAAACACAGCAGTTGACCTATCTTCTTGGAGGAAAAGCATCTGCTTTTCTCTCTCTCTGTGTATTAAAAGTGAATGAAAAATTCATGAGGGTGAGGAACCACTGTAACAATAGGTTAAAAAAACATGGTGAAAGTGCCACTGTTTAGATTAGATAAGATGTTTGGATGCTTTTGATTTTTGATATCCAGGTTTACGTGAGTGTTGAAGCAGCAGAGTTCCACAGCGATCGCTCTGCATCAGCTCCACTCTGCCACTACGATTGCTTCTTCTTCTCCATCCTGCAGTAATACAGGAACAGTTATTTACAAACATACATCATTATCATGCTAAGTGCTGACTGAATGTCCCCTTTGATAAGGTTGATAAACATTGAAGATCTAAAGATTATTTCATTAGGTCATTGGTGAAATTGGGTTCTAGGTCAAAGGCCATAGTGGCAAAATTAAGACTTGGGTAAAAAAAAAAAAAAAAAAAAAGTCCTTTTTTTGACATCATATTTTCAAACCATTGGCTAAAAAATAATAATATACAACCCTGAACACACCAGGTTAAAGCTTCAAGACAAAACATTTTCTATGGATAGGTTGTTGGGGAACATGACATAAAGCCTCATTCTTATGGAGAATTCAGCTTGGAAGGTGAGAAAATGTGGTCTAACAGGGTTTCATGACACCTGATTTATTTAGGGGGACAAAAGAAAACAAAAAAGTCACATCATAGAATATTGCTTACTTGTATTTGATGAGACGACCTCCCTGGATTAGTTGTGCTGACTCATTGGTCAAATGGCAAGCAAACAGAAGCCAGTTGCGTGGCTGAACCTTGTAGGCGAACCTCATGAAGAGCAGTGAGTAGCAGGTCAGAGCTGAGAGGAAGGAGAAAAACAGGCACTATTTTATGACAGCACTGTCTTCTTTTAAATCACTCACTTATGACATACCAAGCATCTAAATGGGGTGGTGGGATTTGACCAGAACCATGAATAAATGGGGGTAATGTGTGAACCCTTCATGTGTCCCACTGTGTGTATCAGCAGATGTGTGCGTGTCTTACCGAAGGTCATCCTGCCACTGATAATCTCAGGGCTCTTCTTCATATCTGTGATGGCGGCTATGGGAAGACCCCAGTTTGCGACAGGTCCCCAGAAATGCTGTGCAGATACACACAAAGTAACAAACTACAGTTTGAACAATACACCGTTTATGGTTTGGGAAGTAGTTTAAGCTGCTTGAAACAGTAAAACAGAACTATACAATTACAATCATGAATGAATTCTTGATGGTAAAAGCTGTATCATGAATCCCAAAACAATATCAATTCAAATAAGTACTGATTTCGAAAATATGAGTAGAAAAAAAAACTGTATGCAAAGATGTAAAAATGATATTCCCGTATTGGGTATGAGACAAACAGAAAGATCAAGTCAAGTCATTGATGAGAAGAGACACATATAAACAAATATGACAGAAAGTTTGAGGACTTACGGTGCTGTTGAACAGGTTTCAGTTTCAAGGCCACATACAAGAGAAAAGAAAACAAACACAGAGAAGTCATAATTAGAGTGCCGCTAGAGTTTCAGACAATTTACAATTTAAAATAAGTGAAACTCAATTTAAGGAGTCCAGGTCTTACAGGAAGTAGCATCACCTGCGTCACCTTCCTTTGGTCCTACATTAATAAATTACTTAATATGGAAAAGGCCACATTTTAGTCACTGGATGAAAAAATGTAACTTAAATTACATTCAACTGTATTAATTACTACCGTATACACATAGTACACAGTACATAGTACATAGTACACAGTACATAGTACATCGTGACAAAACAACCGTTGTTGTGTTAGAAAACCAAAATCCAGAGTTGGTGCAAAATGGCACAAATAATGTGCATTTGTTTATTCACTGCATCATGTATTATACATGTAAACAAAGATGGCCGCTTGCACCGCTGTGTCGCAATTGAATGCATATTGCTGTTTATCTGCGAAAAGAGAACACGTCACCCGGGCATCATGTACACATTAACCAACATGTTTAAAACGGACAGAAACAATAAAGCAGGTCACTTATTTGCCTTTTGTCTCGACATGTTTTTTGTTGTTGCGGCAAACCCACTTTCAAGTTTGGCGAACTGGGTTAACGTAACTTTCTAACTTCATGTTACAGAAACTGCAATAGTCTTTGAAAACAACCGAGCGAAAGTACAACAATCTAACAAATAGTAACACACACATTGGATATTATCACACTGGTTTCCGATCTAATCGGGACAGTAAATTCAACCGTGTCAACGTTGTCGAGCTGACACACGAATACCAAATAGCAAACGTGCCTTTAGCATGAGGGCTAATGGAACATTTTAATAGCTTTCATGTATATACCTTGTCAAATAATCCCTGAACTCTTTGCTCTTCAGATGGTCAATAGCTTTCCGTGCAATTGTCGCCGCCATGGTTTAATGTTGGCACCGGGTCTGTTTGGCAAGAAACGCAATCTTTCTCTGCTGAAGGGCGACTGAAAGCTCAGCTCAGAGGACGACCGGTCTGATTTCCGTTCACAACATTGGCACTTTACGACACCGTCGCAAATATCCACAGTCTTAGATATATATATTAAGGCTCGATGTTTTATGGCGGAGTATAGAACGTCCGCACATGGCGGCCATCTTGGTAGGGGCAGCTGGCTCACCCATAACATTGTGTTGTTAGTGGTACTTTAAATAACAACTTGCACAATTTGCAACCGATTTTTAAATGGTTTGGTTTGTTATAAACGTCAGAGATGTCGTTATGACGCTGCATACTTATGAATAATGTTCTGTTTAGTATAATTTTCGTATGAAAACCCATGGTTACAATTATAATGATTCATAAGTATGCAGTGTCATAAATACATATCTGTACAGGGTGGGGATTTCAACATGCAGCATTTTTTGATGCCTATTTTTAAAGGGAAATCTTCTACCTATTTTAGAACATTATTCTATTTTTTAGGAAATAACAAAATTATTCATATTGTGTATGCAGTGTCATAACTACATCTCTGACGTTTATAACAAACCAAACCGTTCGGTTGAAAATTGAGCAAGTTATGGTTATTTAAAAAGTACATGTATCACTACCAACACAATGTTATGGGTGAGCCAGCTGTCCCTACCAAGATGGCCGCGATGAGCGGACGTTCGACTCCGTTGGCTGGCAACGCGGAGGAGACATCTAGCCTTTATATATGTATCTATGTCCATAGTGACCTCGGTCGTCCCAGTTTACCGCTTATACTCTGTACGGTAGTGCAACGTACATTTTGCAACGAGAGCTACTTATAAAGGACGACACCAATGCTTTAAAAAAATGTTTTACTTTACTTTCCTTTACAACAAAGTAAAAGAAAACCAATGCCATAGTTTTAGGTAGGTTTTGAAGCCATTACATATATGTTCAGTTGAAATGTACCCAGATTGATAACCAACTGATTCCAGATAATACAATACGAACAAATGTGTGCCCTCAAAACATGAAAATAAATGTAAAGTAATAAAATGACCCTATATCCGCAGCAAAATACGTGCAGATTGCACAAAGTCAAGGTGTATGCATATACCTTAAAGAAGACAACACAATTACAAAGTGATGCTGTGGTGGTCTACACAAAGCACATTGAAATACAATTTACCTTGGTTAAACTGTTCTTTGCTAGAGACATCTGCCAACTAAAAATAATAAAACATGTTTTTTGGTTTAAGTTTATTGAGTTCTAATTATTTATTTATCATTTAGATTAAGATTTTCCTTTTAGCTGACACTTTTATCCAAAATGCATTCAGAAACAGAACAACAAGAATAAAGGAAGTACAATTTCTTCAAGTAAGCCAAATTACAAAGTTCTGTAGGTGCTGATAAATTGCTAACTAACCCAAGTGTACTAATTAATTGATTTACTCCTTTAAAGATACACAATACAGAAAAAACAAAGTAACCTATAATAGATATTTACATACATTTATAACGGTCCGTATGACATTGACTGGACTTCAGTGTCCACCATTGGGCCTCACTTCTTCATAGTTCTTGACCAACTGGGAGATCCTGACGACTTTAATGTCTGCTGGTATTTTGTCATAGTCTGACCAAAGGTACTCTGGAGACAGCACCTTGGTTGGCTTGTTGTACAGCAGGTACCTTCACAGCAGAGAGACAGATAAAGCAACGTATGACCCATAAGAAAATAAAAAAGTTGATACGTTCTATTATTCTAAGAAAACAATTTTATGAAATGTGTCAAGGAATGTCACATAGAAATTAAATCAGAAATGAGGATTTCAGCAGGTCGAACTCTCTTTAAACCTTTTTATTAAAATAAATTGAAAACGTTGAAAATTAGGGGATAAATTGTGACTGTACTTGTTGAGGTGACTCTCTTCCTGCCACACAGCTTCGATGTCATTCTTAGCATCTTCCTCTGACTGTGTGTAACAGTATCTGATGACACAAAAGTAGAAAGAGTGTCACTGTAAAGTCTCATTGCGTTTAAAAATAAATGCATTTTAAACTTAAATTTGGTGCAATCATCTCAAAAATCTTTGAAAGGTTGAAATCATGTTCTCACAAGTGGCAAAAGATCCAAACGCAAATCTATTTTTAAAACATATGTATATTTATAATTGTTATGTTACCACTCAGTGTACCCTTTACCGTAGTAGAAATGAAAATAACATAAAAGATAAATAACTGTTATTTACTTGACCAGCCTATACATGTCCTCCAGGTATCCACCCCAGACAGCAGCTGTGTAATAGTAGTCTCCTTCATCAGTAGGAATGTAGGCCATAGATTTGGGCCGACGCTCGTACGGAAACTGATCCCTTCTTGTATTCTGAGGAAAATGCATATTTTAGTGGCTGAAATGTGGTAAGATCGTTATAAAAAAAATGCACAACATATGGTATGAAGAGACAAATCAATGAAAACATTTGATGATGAAAAGAAAAAAAGGAAAGTCCAACATTAACTTGAAGAAAAACCTTGTAGTAGCCACGGTGAAGCACAGCAGACAGCGGACTTAGTGACTCGGCTCCAAAATCATTGTGGAAGACACTGTCTATGTCCATCATATAAAGATAGTCCGCTTCATTACGGATCTGAAAACATTGCATTTGAAATGTGAGGGGACTGTAACGGGCAGAGACTCAACAGAATGATGTCATATTAAGAGAACCAGTAGTGGCACTAATGACCCCGACTGTAGTACTAGTATGATGACACAACTAAGCCATGTTGTGCATTCACAGGACAACCACAGGACATTTAATCTTTTTGCATATGTGCTATAAAGACTACTTAATTACTACGGCCTTTGCACTCGTCAATTTTTTATTTTCATTTTTATTTCACTTTAATTTTATTCTTGTTCTTGTAATTTTTTATCATTATCATTATGCTGCTGCTCTGGTTTTTAACCGTGTATCTTGTGTGCACTGTCCACTTTGCTGCCGTGATCTGTGAATTTCCCCATTCTGGGACTGATAAAGGAATATCTTATCTTATCTTGACTTCTTACCTGTTTGTCAATGGTGATGGTCGCCCATTTCATCCTGCCAAGCACTACTTCCTGCCAGCGGTTGACGCTAGGGATGGTGACCACTGAGATTTTTCGTCCCTTACCCAGTTTAATCTGACACACACACACACACACACACACACACACACGATACTTACGTTTACATGTGTGCATTTATTTTTGGTCCCATGAATATGAATGGTCTTAACTTTTGAAGGAGTGGCACCAAGTTCAATAAGCGGCAGGTTGGATTTTCAGAACGGCATAAACTGATCTCAGAACGGCACGTAGCGCCATGGACCCGCCCTCCTCATCCATATGCAAATCACATGTAAACATCTTTTCCAGTGACGGCTTAATGAAATGACTTGGCAGAAGTACACGTTCTGAGATCAGTTCATGCTGTTCTGAAAAGGGAAACTTAATTTAAAATACTATTATGTTCAACTGTTTTTAAATGGTAAATACATCAGACTGCAGTCTTTTTTTATTTTCTACATATTCTCAAGCTCGTTGACCGTTGATCTATCTGACACGTGGTAAGGCACCACACAGATCCCCCAATTTAAGGAGATTTATTGCAGCAGCACATACTCGAATAAACCATGATCATTTCGCAAAGACACTGATGAGGCGACGATACAACACGTTGAAATCCTTAGTTGCCTTCCTGTCTGTGTCCTTCATCAAGCTTTCCCTCTCCCTCTGTAAAACAGAAAATCACCTACATAGACACATCTACATAACGCACAATACCCTGTGTTATTTGCTGTTAAAATAATAAGCAATAGTAGAGATTGATACGTGATGATATTTTGCAGTCCTGTACTTTAGTTAATTAGCTAAGATGTGCACAACGCTACTTGAAACATACCAAGAAGAATCACTCACTGTGGGGACATCTCCTTTGTTGTCTGTGAAGATGTAATAGGTGACTCTGAAGTCAACAAGAAAGTACTTTTCAGCCGACTCCAAGAAACCCTTTAGGAAACGTGTGTATCTTTTGGGAAGGAAACAAGCAAGCCACAAACATTACCAATGCAATAGACATAACAGTATATAAAAAAAAGCTTTATTATGTTTATTAAGTTTATGTAGTAGAGTATTTCAGCTGAAGTAATGGCTCAGGTTAAACTGTACACTTATAACATTCTGCGAGAATATCCTGTGTACCTACTTGCCAACAGCAAACAACACCACAGCAACTCTTGGGTCCATTTTCTTATAGATTGCATCAATAACCACCGGATCAAAGGTTCCCTCCCAAACCAGAGGAGCATTCCAGTTCGTCACTGAATTCACGTCAGTGCGTCTTTGGAGAACAAATACATCTTTATTCTGACTTTATCAAGCATTTTCAGGTCTTAGTCCATCCAGCAGTTTGGGTCTGATAGTTCAATAGACAATCAATTGTTGCAGAACAGGGTTCCAAATGAAATGACCACTTTTCATCTCATATAGAGAATTCATTAACATATCAAATTTTTGGTGTGTTAAAAAATTTGGAGTTTCACCAGTTATTTGATAAAATGGTGGGACATTGTAATAACTTCTGATCTTTCTCGTCTTCTTGATCTTGAACTTTGTGAAAGAGATATGTTTATCATGCTCCTTTACGGTCATAACATGTTATCACCTACACATTCTACACAGGAAAATAATAACGTATCGTTGTTTTTAACGGCTTACCCGTTCTGTGTGCTTGGCTGAGCATATTTCAGTCTGGAAAAAAGAGTAAAGATTAATTTAAATGTCCCATTACTCTACTCTGTCCAAAGTGGACATGCAGGGATAAATACAGCACAACTAATATATTAAAATCGATACAACAAAAGCAAACATAAAAAACAACCTTAAAGAAACAACACCGGAGGACCAGATACTATAGAACATGAACATTGTCATGTCATGTGCTCTGCTTCCTCCCGATGAGCCTGCCGCTGTGTTTATGAGACAAAAGGGCTACTAACCAATGACCTTTTGTTGGCTCTGCAAAATAACACCCAGTCATCTTTTAATCTCTTGTGTTCACCGCGAAGGCCTTCACTGTTATGTTGATATCCTGGGAATTAGCAACTGTTGATTACAGTTCATTACAAACTAAACTTAAAGTCCCCCTGCAGTCCTGTCTGGGCTGTAAAGCTCACTGAAATAAAGGATTTGAGTTAATAACAATTAAATCTAATTAAATAGTTTGACGTTAGCATTTGTCCAAAACACAACACATGTCTCCTCCCCTTTGTATGTACGCGATCAGAGGCAACATTTATAGTTACAGCCCGCCAACATAAAGTGGTCTCAGTGTATTTAAGCTGCTCTAATATATTTGCTTAGTGGAGAGAGCCAACAGAAGTAAAGCCATAACGCAACCGGTTTCCAAGTCTCATAAAGATCACTATCCCAGTGCAGGACAAACAAATGCTCAGTTCTTATACTGTGTATCCGGCTCTCTGACTGTCCTGTTTTAACTGTATGTTTCACATCATATATTGTATGTATTGTGTTTTGTACATTCTATGGACCCCCTGAAGATTAGCGCCCATGAAGGAGTCAGCTGAGGGGGATCCAGTTAATAAACAATAAATTGTGGTGTAGTTTCAAATAATTGTTACACAATGCAATTGTAAAGCAACATTTTCAGAAAGGTGGATCATAAAAAATACAATAAAACCTCATTAAAATCTGTTGTTTAGACTTTGATTTCCACAAAAATTGTTAGCAGGACATTTTTATTGCATGCAAATTGACGTAAATGACAAAAGAAAAGGGGTGAACCCAGTGGCACCAATGATATGTGGCTCCTACAGACATTTACGTAAATAAAAATCCTATTGATAATTTTATTTAATCCTATTGATTACTTTAAGATGAGAAAGACTATGAAGACTCTTTCAACATTAGTCGTCCATTACTAAGAAGAGATTGCGTGGGCCTTTCTACTTGTTTGTGAAAAAAAACTTAATTCTCACCCAGTTTGCATCTTTAGGTCTCCAACCCTCCAGCTGCCATTGTCAGAGCAAACGCTTAAAGGGGAAACACGCAATACATATTTAAAGTAGTATAGAAATTTACATATAAAATGTGTAATTGATGGTTTCATTAAATGTATACGGTACAAAACTACGTGGAACTTCTGGGTAGCAACAGGATTAATGAATACTCATAAAGTGTGTAATTTAATTCAGAATGTTTTACATGCACTCTTTCTGTATGTGTACATGTGTATTGTGGTTCCTTGTTTTAGAATATTACCCTTTGTTTAATGGTCCGTTCAGTGGCTCTGACTTAGTCTCTATAATGTTAGTGTCTGATCCATACAGGGGTGAGATGCTTGGCCCCCGATAGATATACAGGAACCTGTGAAGACACAAAGATACAAAAGATGACTGCAGTGGTGTCACAAGATTCAAGATGTAATTAAACTTGTTGGTCTTGTTGTTGTGACATGTTTTTATACACCGCAACACCGTTGTTTTATTAATACTTGACACATTTCAAAACGCTTGTGTCATGCCAAACGTTATGTTTCACACTTGGATAGAGGAGAGAGAGAGAGAAAAGAACAAGAGTTGCAATTGCGATTAAGCTCTTGCACACCACATTGGGGTGAGACTATTTCCTGGGGGTGCTGGCCTTGTGTACTTGGGTGGAAACACAAGAGGGCCTTTACCCAAGCTCCAAGGACGGAGGCACCGAACCGAAAGAGACCATCTCAGTTTGATTTTAGATTCCCCTCCACTGGAAGTACGTGGCCCACGAGAACTAAACTACTGCATCAGAGGACATTTTAATTAAATGAACAGTGAGGATTTACACAGTACATGCACAGAAATACTTATTTGATAGATGTTATGTTTAATGATTTTACACCGATGTCGCGCAAGAACAACACAAAAGTTGAAAGACCACATTTTGCCTTTTACCTGTAATTAAATTCATTTTAAGCAATTCTTAGGTGTATTTTGTTTTTTTATTTTTGGTTGAACAGTCTTCTATAGCTTTGTATTTTATTTACTTGATGATAAATTCTATTGTACAAAAAAGAAAAAAGAAGTGAGAAGTCTTACCCCAAAAATATGAAGAGCCACGGAAGACCTATCAAAATATGGTTCCTGTAAATGCAGCGCAACATACTTATCAACAATGTATAGAACTAATTTTGCAGATACGGCAATGTTGAACAACAAAAAAAAGACTGAGAGGCACAGGCAGTATAGTTCGCTTTTATTCAAAACCAGGGGAAGGATCTAGTTACCGTGACAAAACAAACAAAAGTTGTATTGCCTGTGTTTTAACGTTCAAGTAGAACCTGTAAAACCTGTCAAACTTAAGCAAACATTTGGCTTCATATCTTAGAGCGACATTAAACCGTCATATATGGATGGCTTTGACATTCGCTGTCATAAAACCATTACAATTGTGTCATAAATGTTGTCCTTTTCATTAAGATGTCGTTAAGTGTAACTACACTGCTAAATGTCTTTATAACACATTTCCCATTTCCCTCCTACAGTGATTTTTGGATTTTAACTTTGCATTAAGATATCATGTGCAATCACATAGTCAACCAAGTTTATGACAGTGTCATGACTGTTTTCTTTGAATCTTCTTTGAGTCTAGGAACATCTGGAAGTATCTAGAAAGGAGAACACCGGACTTCAAAAAACGATTGAACGAATGAATGTAGCTGCACAGAAATACAAGGGCCGTCCCTTGTAGAGCAGAGCAGAGATGGTTGAATTTCTTAATGGTGTGGTTATCGAGAGTCTCTGAATCAGCTTGTCTGTTGGCCAGCGTCAGTTTCAGGTCCATCATTTCATTGTAGATCTCAGCCAACTCAAACATCATCTGTCTGCGGATCATTAGGTAGTACTGGGCGTTCAAGTCTGTAGGGAGAATCACAAAGTCAGATATAAATCAACAACTACGCGTTAAAGCCTTTTTCTGCTGCAAACAATATATTTGTTTTAATATTCAGAGAGACAAAAAAAAAGAACTAAGTTTACGCAGTACCATTGCAGATGGGCTCCAGCATGTCCACTCTGCGTTTGTGCATCTTGCAGCGTCGCTCCAGATCCTCTTCATAGAAAGCAAGGGAGCGGAACAGAGCGTTGTGATCCTGTAGGATCTCTACGTGGTCCGTCGCATGGCCGTCCATTTCAAAGTACGAGAGAGGGCTAGCGCAAATTGTGTCACCGGCAACTCGCTGAGGCACTTCCTGTTGCAGGTTGCGGTGCCGCGGCGAACCGTGGCAGCTGGCTCGAGTTTATGGCAACTGCCTCGCCTGTTGCCTCGGCTGAGTGAGGTACCTTGAGCGGTACCACGAATTCAGGGGCTGGTTCATCAGTCGAGAGAGGTACCTCTAGCGGTACCTCGAGTTAAAGGAGTCTTGCCAAGACCGGAGGCATGCAACGACCAAAGGGAGCGGTGCATCGGCTGATAGAGGTACCGGGAGTTTAAGGGAGAGGTGCCACGGCTGGTAGGGGACAGGTGCCACGGCTGTTAAGGGAGAGGTGCCACGGCTGTTAAGGGAGAGGTGGTCCGTCGCATGGCCGTCCATCTCAAAGTACGAGAGAGGGCTAGCGCAAATTGTGTCACCGGCAACTCGCTGAGGCACTTCCTGTTGCAGGTTGCGGTGATAGACGTACTGCCAAGTTATGGTTATTTAAAAAGTACATGTATCACTACCAACACAATGTTATGGGTGAGCCAGCTGTCCCTACCAAGATGGCCGCGATGAGCGGACGTTCGACTCCGTTGGCTGGCAACGCGGAGGAGACATCTAGCCTTTATATATGTATCTATGTCCATAGTGACCTCGGTCGTCCCAGTTTACCGCTTATACTCTGTACGGTAGTGCAACGTACATTTTGCAACGAGAGCTACTTATAAAGGACGACACCAATGCTTAAAAAAATGT